CATGCAGAAGACGGTCAGACACGGGTGGAACAAATACTAAAATTTACAGTTAAAACATCTTTCCTGAAATACGAGAGACCCAAGTCCACACATTTAAACTGTACACAACGCACTCAGGAGATCAATCAGTCTGCTGGTATTATGGCATATTCTAGAATAAATTTTTAGGGTTTAAAAATCTCTTAACATCCAGGCAAAAAAAAATCAAGTTACAAATAGGGACATAAAATCAGACTGTCACCAAGCTTTTCTTCAGCTAAACGTTATGCCGTTATGCAGGCAATGGGAGAAAAAAGACATTTAAGACGCTTAGGAAAAACTGGAGTCAAGGATTCTACATCCGGAAAAGCTGATTTTTCAAGTGTTAAGGCCACAAACTTAGGAACAAGTAAGAAATCAGAGAATATTGTTTTCATGAGCATTTCCCAAGGAACCTACCAGAAAACAAGGAATACACAAACCGGGAAGGGAAACGACAAGCCCAGGAAGGCAGAGCGCTGAGCTAATGCGCTGGGTGAAGGCCCCTTCCCTGGACGGTGCAATCCTGTGACACGGGTCAGCAGGACAGCAAGACCTGCTCCTGAGCCACTTGAGCAGAAAGAAGGTGAGTCACCCGGGAAGGGCTCCAGGGCGGCCCAGGGGCCTGTCTGTTCCTCGGCTCTGCCCAGGGCGAGCTAGTAAGGGGGGAATTCACACAGCCCACCCATGTGCAGGTAAAGTGCTTCCACACGCCACAGCACAGAGGCCTGCAGACCCCAGGAGGGGCACAGCGTGGGGCTGAGGACTCTGAAGAGACAGGACCCTGGCGGATGCTGAGCCGCTGGTCACAATGCTCCCTTCCCGCTTCTTGCCGGGAGCAGGCCCGGGCCAGACAGAGCCTCAGTCGGGAGCTGAAGTGTGATGTGCCCACACCCCAGTCTCCTGCTTCTTTAAGTTAAAGCATCCACCAAAATGGCTTGCCGCTGAAGGTCTGGATTCTACCTATAAATGTTGTAGAAGTAGCCAGTGGGAAAACCAGTGTGGAAGGGTATTTTCAGATGACCCCTGCCCAGGCTGTAGAAGAAGACTAATGAGAACAGGTGCATGCCAGGACTACGCCAGGGACAGGGCAGCAGGAGAAACTTGAGCTAGAGCCGTGGGAACAGGAACCTGCAGGAGAATGACTGGAGACACAGCTTACATCGGATCAAACCGAACATGCCATTCTGCTCTGCATCATCATTTTATGTATCATTAATAAAGAAAGCCTGCTGCCAATTAGCGACGAAATGCAGGAACAGAGCAAGAGAGATTTCCGTAGTGAAACTGAGACTATATTATAGAACTGACCCTCTTATGACACCTCATGAAATTAGTGTCTCAGAACAGTAAAAATCAGCAAAAAAAAAAAACAACAAACAAACAAAAAAAACCTACACTTAATATAGGCAGCCAGAAAGTTATGCTCCCAATTACAGGGGGCAGGGGTCAGCTCATATCAACCAACTCTCCCAGCAGGTAACAATGATAAACTCTGGGCAAAATATGAACAAAACCACCGGGAGGCCCTGGGCACAGCCACCAGTTGGAGCCCACTCTGGGAAGATGGGATCAGGGCAGCAAGTGTGCGGTGGTTTGGCTGCGAGGGCCGCCCTGGCTGAAAACAGGCCGAGGGCCTAGAGCTGCATGTGAACCCCAAGGTCTCGGATCAGCAATCAGAAAGCAGCTCCGGCTGCCAGGGCAGGGGGAGGGAGGGAAGTGCCAAGGAAGAGAGCCCAGGAGGCCTCCGACGCCTGTGGACACACGGTCGCTGCCACCTCTGCCGGTGGATGGGCAGGCAGCGCTGAGCTGCCCGGCTAAGGAGGGGACAACACATGGCAGGCATCGCCCCCAGGAGGAGCTCGGGGCTGCAGGCAGCCAGGGTGGCCAGCGGTCAGGCAGAACTTGGTCCCCACAGGAGCACCATGTGCAGAGAGCACATGGCCTCTGCAAGGCGATCAACAGACCAAACCTGAGCGGACACAGATGTTGGAATTAGCAGACAAAAATTTTAGAGCATTTTAATGTTCTTAGAATTTTAAAGTAACGGTGTCTGGGAATCTGTGCTCCTGATGAACGCAGACGAAGACCTCGGGGAGCCAGGGTGCCACAGCCGCACACTGCGAGTGGCTGCGCAGGACACAGCACAGCACAGCAGCACAGCCAGGGGCAGGAGGGCCGCACTGGGAGGTGCTGGGAAAGTCCTGCGCCTCACAGAAGCCTCCATTATCTGAGGGCGGACTCGGGTTGACAGAAGGTGCATATCGTGAACCCTAAAGGACACTTGATGATGAATGAAAGGCGTCAATAGAAGAAGTAATGCAGAATAGGAAGCGCTCGGTTCACCCAAACTTTTTGAAATTAACCCAAACTCTTTAGGCAGGGGCTGGATTATGCCAGAGAGAAGTGGCATAACACAGAGAAGGAGAGAGCCCACCTTGGAAGAAATGTAAGTAAAGATAAAAATACAAGCCAGGCTCGGTGGCGCACGACTGTCATCCCAGCGCCTCAGGAGGCTGAGGCAGGAGGATCCTGAGTTCAAAGCCAGCCTCAGCTGGCGCTACTCAAAATAAAAAAATACAAGGGCCGGGGATG